CACCCAAACTAACTTTTGGTGAAGAAAAACCCGAGGTACATGAAAGTTGATTAATCCGCCACTTAGGACACGGCGTGCGTCAAACGGGATGACACTTCAAGTCTGAAGTTTTCGTGCGATAGATACAGATATAAAACGATGCATAGACGGGAAACCGTTGCCATCACCACATTCGACAAACGAAAACGTGGAGCGCTGGTAGTTGGATGCACTGGAAAGTGAAGGATTATCAGAGAGAAAACGGTCTGATAAGCTTGAGTACTTGCTGGTGTTCACGGTTTGGAAGACCCCTTCTCCATCCCCAACAATGGGACTGAGACTCTGATGCTGGTACGTGGAGAAAACAGGACCATGTCGGGTGGATCAGGGCTTCCATGATGCTGTATAAGGTGCGTCTCGGTGTCGAAGTAAATTTGGTGTGTAACGATGTAGTAGTTGATATAATCCTAACAGGGCCGGGACGACTCGGATAACAGGATTCAGCAATGGGCACGACTGTTTTGGTGGCTTGGGGGCTTTCATTATGGGATCGACTGGAGATGGGTTGGCTGACTGTGTAGCTATCGACGGTATGACTGACGACGGGCTTCCGAAATTTGTGGGTACCATACTCCTTGAACTTTCAAAACATGATACCTTCCGGCCATGCTGAGGGGTTGAGTGCTTCCAGGATCAAGACCAATTTTGAAGGAAATAAACGTTAGGCTCTATAAGTCTTTTCATTTGCTAGTGCCCAAATGATTGACTATGTCAACGTCTTCACTGGGATTAATTTTTGCCTTCACCATGTCCAGAACTGACTCATTTGCCACGTCAGGTCGAATTCGTGACATGCAAGTGTGTGGTAAGCGTGACTGCTTTCTCACCCCAATGGGTCTGGGTTCAATCCCAGCCGAGGTTGGTGGAATTTTTCTGAGGCATAGAAATCTCTGGTCACGTCTTCCTTCGGAAGGGAAGTAAAGCCGTTGGTCCCGGCCCATGTGTGTTTGAATGGGTGCGATATCCTATGCAGGTGTGGAAGCTGCACATTCGAATGTCGTGAATGGATGGCAATCGATGTCCGTCGGTGATTGGTACTAGATTGTGGAGCAGAGTCCGACGTTAAATAAAGGAAAGAAGAAGAAGACATTCAATGTGTTTGGCTCTGAGTTGATACGACATCCTGGCGCGATGCTTTGGATCCATACAAACATTTATCAACTTGCAGGCGTGGTCTTTTGAGACGGCGCTTTGACTAAAGCATAGTCCACATCTTCGGTGCAGGTGACAATGCTGGACTGGTAGAGCTAGATTCTAACTGCTTGATTTGATCGAAGGTGGGACTTTTCGAACAAATCCACGAACTTGTCGCACAACCAAAAAATATTGATTCGGTGTGAAGTGAAGTATCCCAATAGCGCTCGAGCCACTCCGGAGGAGCCCATGTGGAACACTCCACCGCAAAATCCACAACATTTTCAATGCCAACGATGGCAGTGTCACATTTCGAGCAGATATTCTCCATCTCGATGATAAGCACGTAAGAATGCGCCTATTGATATAGTGTCACGCAGCCCACAGGATGAAGTAACACGGGTTGCAGAAAAACAGGTGGTAGGAATATTATCGATGAAAGTGGTGAAATCAGCGGTGTGGGCAAACGATAACACCGACAGTGAGCATGCATAAAGACCCACGCACATTAGATCGGGATCGTAGCTCAAGAGCAGTGGTGCCAGTATAGCTCAATTTAGCTCAAGTAATATGAAACTTTGAACGAGTAGAGACGGCTTTGGCACCCATTGACTGTTTTCAGCAACCAAAATTTAAACGGTGCTTTCACTTCGCTTTCTCAACAAAACATTTCGCTTTATATATTCAAACGATTACTTAGTCTTCCAACATCAATCTGATTAGATTGTTACGACTAAACAAACGCATTTTGTCAGGTTTTGCTTGAAACGAAACATGCGCAATATAAAATTTTGCTGATTTTTAGTTGCAGATAATAGAACTGCAGATTAAAGGGTGTCCCATATCAAATTGCATCACGGAAGAAAAAAAAACGTTGTAGAAAACTACCCACTGGGTATTTTCTCTTGAAAATTTGGGTAGAAGTAGTTTAGAGTGCATTGTTTACACTGTATTTTTATCGCTGTCAGTTTTTCGAAAGTTGGAAAAAGTGGCGTCACCCAAAAAGCAACGTCGCGAATTGGTTTTGCGAAAGCACCTGGAAAATCCTCAACTCTCTCATCGGGACATCGGAAAACAACTCGGAATCGTGCAGTCAACGGTGAGTCATGTGATAAAACGTTACTAAGGCTGTGAACCATTTGCCGAGTTGAATTTAAATCGTGGTTAAAAAGGACATTTCGAAAGTTATTTTCTATGTTCGAAAATCCCCGTGCTATCGATCGACCGTTTTCGACCCACGGTTGTCAAAATTTAACTTCTTGTCTGTCAGAAATAACCATGCTCGGAAAGCAGGGTTCATCGATAGCTTTCCATCTGTCAAATTTTAACCAAAAGTTAAAATAATCCACCATATGGTTCAGAGCCTAAGAAACTCTGAGCATCGAACGGAAGGAGAAATGCGGTCAGGATCACAAGCGTGTCGTAAAAACGGAATCCCAATGCTTCGGTCAGGGATGTCGCCAAAAAGTTGTCTTTCGTTCAGAGAGCCAAGGACTGGAAGAGACTGCATACGTACAAAGTGCAGAAAGCTCCAAATCGTGACGAACGGCAAAATACGGTGGAAAAGTCACGGGCCCCGAAACACCCAGATGCTGACAAAGCCTCATTTTCTCATCATGGATGATGCGAATTACGTCAAGGCGGACTTCCGGCAGCTTTCGGGGCTGCTGTTCTTCATCGCCCAGCACAAGTTTGATGTTCCGGAGGAAGTAAGGAAGCAGAAACTTTCAAAGTTTGCCAAGAAATACATGCGATCTGCTCATGTGCGCCGTTCTTGACTACCGGGACGGTAAACGGGGAGATCTACCTCAAGGAGTGTCTACAAAAGCGTCTGCTTCGTCAGTTAAAGCAACACGAGGGTCCGACGAGCTTCTGGCCGGATCTAGCTTCGTGCCACTATTCAAATGTTGTCCTGGAGTGGTACGAATCCAACGGGGTCACTTTCGTACCCAAGGACATACCCCCCCCCCCCCCAACGCACCGGAACTAAGGCCCATCGAAAAATACTGTGCTATTCTGAAGCAGACACTACGGATGCATTCCAAGGAGGAAGACATGAAGAAAAAGTGGGTTTCCGTACAGAAGAAGCTGCAGCCAGATGTTGTACAGAACCTAATGAGTGGAGTTAAGCGTAAAGTCGAATGAAATAAATATGCCAAAAGCTTACTAATGGGTTATTTTTTATTGTCTGAAAGTTTGAAAAGGATCGGTCAACTAGGTTTTCAACAGCGTTTTCTCCGTGATAAAATTTGATGTGGGACACCCTTTCTTGTCGGCAACCTCTTTTTCTTCGGCAAACTTTCCATTTGAAGTGTGAGTTATTTAGTCACACTTATACCCCGTTCACATTACAACCTATATCACGTAATATAGGCTGTCTTGCAATGAGCACTCATACATAGGATTTCCAGTGAAAACTAGATGTATGAGTGCTCATTGCAAGACAGCGTATATCACGTGATATACGCTGTAATGTGAACGGGGTATTACTTGAGAAGTAAGTTGTAAAGACGTTTTCAACTAGTTTTGAACAATTTTATCGATGGCAATGGATAGAGTAGCAAGCAGAAAATAAATGTAAACAAACAAACATGTCAAATGTGTACATGACGCTGAGAAAATGTTAATAAAATCACGGACGCTGCTTAGACTGACTAGAGTACGTAAATTCCCCTTTATAATCAAGAACGTCATTAGAAATAAGAAGACAAAATTGAATTTGTGACGGCTATATAGGAAAAAAAAAAACCTTTAATAAGTGATTGTTTGAGTGCCTTTTCAATCCGACGAAAAACAAGATTTATGTTTTTGCTTATTTGGAAAATATGTAAAACATACTATATAAAAACTCTATACGATATCAAACGTAAAACCCTACACACTTAAAATTTTTCACCGATATTCCAACAGCCGAGTTATTCTACAATTTATTTTGCTGAGATTTAGTCAAACAATTGCCGAGACTCAGCTAACAAATAACATTTTGCTGAGATATCAGCTAACAAACAGATATTTTGTAGATTTATTAGCAAAAGTAAATGCCGAAGTAATCGGCTGTTGGAGATTTTACCAAGCTAGATTAAGTGTGTAAGCTACAAAATGGCACCAATGTTTCCAATTCGTATATAGTGCAGAGAGTAATTTAATCATTCCATTCTACTATAAAAGTAAGCCACATTATCCAAGATACTCCGTTTTACGGTACCTCTCTTGACACCAAATAAAAAAAAATAGAAGACGATTCCAAATTGTCGTTAAAAACCCTCCCATTGCCACGCCGTCACCCACTTCACAGACACGTTTGTACGTTACTTTCCGAAAGCGTCCTCGTCGTTGCCTTGTTGCTTTGGCGTTCATCTCTCTTCCCAGCCCCACCCACCCAACAAACTAAACAAGAGCTGCCGTCGCCGCCGCCGTCGGTCATCGCTTCGTTCACGCTTCGCGGTTTCGGCGAGTCTCTCTTTATTCGAATAATCAATGGTGTGTTGGCTCTTCTATGAAAGTAATAAAAATTCTCAACATTCTGCCACCCGTCATTATGCTACTATACATTCGTCGTTATTGGAGTGACTTTGTAGCGAGCTAGAGAAGTTGTAAAGGTGCTAGTATTGTCGCCAAAGTTTGTTGATATTTTATATAGGGCGCTTTAAGAGCTTTGACGAAAGGTGTTTGTGAACAACAAAAGGGTTGTCTTTTCTTCGGCGAAAACAGGAAACCGTAGATAGATACCGTCGCGTCTTGGGTCGTGGGGTGGAAAAGCGCTAAACCAACATCAACTTTCCATCAGAAGCTACTGGATGGGGTAGATGAAGAGAAACGAACAAGGTGTCAGCGAAAAGTGTGTGCTCGGTTATTAGTGGAAAGTTTTCGCGGAGTTGTCACTTTTACCAAGTGGGTAGCCTTCGTCATCGCAGTCAACAGCGAGCGTATAGTTGTTCGGTTTAGCAAAGTGAACCATCTTCGTATTATTTAGCTTGAGAGCACGTCGCGGGTGATTTGTTCTCGAAGCAGACATCTCTGGAAGGTCGAAGAAGGAAGTCCGAGTAGAAGTTTTGTGGTGTGTATTCCAATCGATAGACCGAGCGTCTGCCAAAGCAATTGTGTGTTTTGATACGATCTCCGGTGTGCCATAAAACAAGAGTGACTTTGTTGTCGTCAAGAGCAAGCACGCAATATTGCATTATATAGTTGGTGCTGGCGTGTGTCGTGGGTCACACACAATTTTCGACGCCAAGTGAAGTGAAGTGAGTCACTCTAGCTCCAATATAGTATTATTTTCTATCGCCGAACCCGACGTTTTATGGTTGAACGACGACGAACGTCGCTGTCTGTGAAAAGTGCGAACTGAAGAGGCGTCAAAATCGATAAATTTTTCGTCTCAATTTTTGTGCAAGGACGTCAAACCAAGGAGCAACAATGAACGACTACAACTCGAGGAAGCGATTTGCGTTCGATATCGATATGGAAATGGAAACGGAGGCATCCAAGCTGATGCTGGGTAAGTAGGACCATCCTTTGTAAATCTCAAAAACAGTTTCCAAACGATTCGATCTACGGCAGGAATGTGTTTGTGTGTTAACATATATTCGCAAAAAGTGCCTTGGAGTGATTTATTTTTAAATCCGGAATGCTGGAGAAATTTTGCACCTTGCAAGAGCACTCTTTAACTACGTCGAGTCTGGTGGAATGAAGGGTAATAAATTATTATTTACGAATTAATAGAAGAGCATAGCCGGAGTTGGAGGTGAGTCAAAACTGGTCTATTGGATTTCAGCTGAATAGCGCTCGGTAATTGGACAGACGAGGCCGACAAATTTCGGGTTGACATAATGAACCTTTTATGATAAGGTTGGAGTATTCATGGAGCGCGATAAGAGACTGCTGTTGCGAGGCACAGCAAGTGAGATGTTTTGTTGTTGTTGTTGTTGTGGGTTGTCGATGCGAGTTTTGTCAACACTGCGAGTGCGACATAATCGGGAAGGTCATCATGCGAGAGGCATATTGAGTCGATGTGGAGGCAGATCTATTACGATGTTAATGATAAGGGATCTTCGACAGGAAGCTCTTCCAGCATTTTCAATAATTTTTCCGAGAAGGTACCATCTTCTTTCTTCTAGGTTTTTCGCATCTAAAGCGAGCGTGTTTCCAGCTCTCAACATAGTGTTCATGGCCAATGAGAATAATTCAGAGGGAGAGTCACTTCTACTGAGAGCTATGGAGAAATTTCTAAAAACTGCAGGAACTCAGGCCAGTTTCTAGATGCACTTTCACAGTTATTAATTGAGAGTTTTCTATGCCAATCACCATGTATTTGTATATTATGTGACAAATACAATGATACCACAGAGGTAACCCTATGACCAGAAGGTCCCGAAGAAACGTGCTCTTCTTTTTTGGCTCAGCTCTGGAACTATCTTCGGTCCCTCATTTTATTTGTCAAACTTTCATAGCGAATCAAAACAAACATAGTGTAGTTCTAGGGGGTACGTTAATCGATTTGCTTAGGACCAATAGGCTAGTCAAGCAGTGAGCCAATTTAAAATCGTTAGTTTTCACCGGTTGATGATACTCTATGCCCAAGGAGTCGCGAAAATTCAGCTTTCGAAACGTTCCTGGTTTTCTTCGACGTTCCCCACCCGACCTCTGGCCCATTAAACTTCTCTGATCTGTCTGAAGTTCTCCAAGCTTATTCTGAAAGTTTGTCAAATAAACACAGTAAGTTTCTTCAAGTTTCCTGTGTGCTCCGCACATTTGTCATGGACGATCAACTTCCATGGAAAAATTTGAGATTATATCACACTCATGCATTTCCGCTAAACTTCATCAAAGTATACAATAAGCTACCCTTCGAAATGTTTATCGTATGTTTATCGCATTTCGATGGAAATTTGTCCAAATGAAATTCTTGACCGATAACGGTTTTAAACCTCAAATTGATTCAATGGCGGGGGTAAGGAAGTTGTGGAAGAACCTGTGAGGATTTCTGGGAAAACTTAAGAGAAATTCTTAAGGAACTAAAGAGAAATTCTTGAGGAACTTCAGAGAAAATCTTAAGGAACTTAAGATAAATTCTTAAGGAACTTAATGAAACACTTGAGGAACTTATGATAAATTTTTAAGAAACTTAAGAGAAATTCTTAAGGAACTTAATAAAAACTCTTGAGGAACTTATGATAAATTTTTATAGAACTTTAGAGAAATTCTTGAGGAACTCGAGAGAAATATTTAAGGAACCTAAGTGAAATTCTTAAGGAACTTAAGATAAATTCTTCTGGTTCTTAAGAGAAATTCTCAAGGAACTTGCGGAAAATTCTTAAGGAACTTAAGATTTTTTAATGAAATTAACAACTTACAATAAATAGGGACTAAGGATCAATTCTTAAGGAACTAAAAATAAATTCTCAAGGTACTTGAGATAAATTCGTAAAAAATGTTAGAGAAATTCTTAAGGATAGTTAGAGAAATTCTTAAGGAACTTAAGAGAAATTCCCACAAAACATACGGAAAATTCTTAACGAACATGAGATAAATTCTTAAGGAACCTAAGATCATTTTTTAAGGAACTTAAGATAAATTCTCAAGGTACTTGAGAAAGGTTCTTAAGGAACGTTAGAGAAATTCTTAAGGAACTCAAGAGAAATTCTTAAGGAACTCAAGAGAAATTCTTAAGGAACTTAAGAGAAATTCTTAAGGAAATTAGGAGAAATTCTAAGAAACTTACGGAAAATTCTTAAGGAACTTAAGATTTTTTAAGGAAATTAACAACTTATAATAAATAGGGACTAAGGATCAATGCTTAAGGAACTAAAGATAAATTCTCAAGGTACTTGAGATAAATTCGTAAAAAATGTTAGATAAATTCTTAAGGAAAGTTAGAGACATTCTTAAGGAAATTAAGAGAAATTCCTACAAAACATACGGAAAATTCTTAACGAACATGAGATAAATTCTTAAGGAACCTAAGATCATTTTTTAAGGAACTTAAGATAAATTCTCAAGGTACTTGAGAAAGGTTCTTAAGGAACGTTAGAGAAATTCTTAAGGAACTCAAGAGAAATTCTCAAGGAACTTACGGAAAATTCTTAAGGAACTTAAGATTTTTTAAGGAAATTAACAACTTATAATAAATAGGAACTAAGGATCAATTCTTAAGGAACTAAAGATAAATTCTCAAGGTACTTGAGATAAATTCGTAAAAAATGTTAGAGAAATTCTTAAGGAAAGTTAGAGAAATTCTTAAGGAACTTAAGAGAAATTCCTACAAAACATACGGAAAATTCTTAAGGAACTTAAAAGAAATTCTTAAAGAACATAAGATCATTTTTTAAGGATTAAGATAAATTCTCAAGGTACTTGAGAAAATTTCTTAAGGAACGTTAGAGAAATTCTTAAGGAACTCAAGAGAAATTCATAAGGAACTTAAGAGAAATTCTTAAGGAACTTAAGGATAATTCTTAAGGAACTTAGGGGAAATTCTAAGAAACTTACGGGAAATTATTAAGGAACTTAATAAAAATTCTAAATGAACATGAGACAAATTCTAAAGGAACTTAAATGAAAATCATAAGGAACTTAAGAGAAACTCTTAAGGAACTTAGATTACATTCTTGAGGAATTTAATATAAATTTTCAAGGTACTTGTGATAAATCTTCAAAGAACGTAAGACAAATTGTTAAAGAAAGTAAGGAAAATTCTTAAGGAACTTGAGAAAAATTCTTAAGGAACTTAAGAGAAATCCTCAAGGAACTTGAGATAAATTCTCAAGCAACGTGAGAAAATACTAAAGAAACTTAAGTGAAATTATTAACGTACATAAGGAAAATTCTTAAGCTACTTAGGAGAAACTCTTAAGGAACTTAAGATAAATTCTTGAGGAACTTGAGAGAAATTCTCAAGGGATGTAAGATAAATTTTTAAGGAACTTAAGAGAAATTCCTAAGAAATTTACGAAAATTCATAAGGATCTTAAGAGAAATTCTTAAGATATTTGAGAGAAATTCTTAAGAAAATTCAGATAAATTCTGAAGGAACTTTAGATAAATTCTTGAGGAACTTAAGGAAGTTAAGATAAACTATTAAGGAACTTAAGAGAAATTCTCAGTGAACTTAAGAAAAACTATTAAGGAACTTAAGAGTGATTCTTAGAGATCTTAAGGGAAATTCTCAAGGAACTTAATATCAATTCTGAAGAAAGTAAAGATACATTATTTAGGAACTTTAGAAAATTCTTAAGGAACTTGAGAGAATTTATTGAGGAACTTAATTAAAACTCTTGAGGAATTGATCATATTTTTTTAAGAAACTTAAGAGAAGTTCTTAAGGATCTCGAGATGAATTCTCAATGAACGTGAGAGAATTACTTAAGGAACTCAATTGAAATTCTTAAGGAACTTAAGGGAAATTCTTATAGCACCTAAGATAAATTCTTAAGAACCTTACGGAAAATTATTAAGGAGCCTACAGAAAATTCTTAAGTAACTTAAGATAAATTTTAAAGGAGCTTAAGATAACTCTTAAGCAACTTATGATACATTCTTAAGGAAATTAAGTTCAATTCTTAAGGAACATTAGAGAAATTTTTAAGGAACTTAAGAGAAATTCCTAAGAAACTTACGTAAAATTCATAAGGAACTTGATAAAAGTTCTTAAGGAACATGAGATAAGGAATTTTCATGAAACTCATAAGGAATTTAAGAGAAGCTTTTAATTTAAGAGAAATTCTTGAGGAATTTAAGATAAATTCTCAAGGTACATGAGATAAATCATCAAGGAACGTGATAGAAATTGTTAAAGAAGGTAAAGAAAATTCTTAAGGAACTTACGGAAAATTATTAAGGAACTTACGAAAAATGATTAGGAAGCTTACAGAAAATACTAAAGGAACTTAAGTGAAATTATTAAGGAGCGTAGGAGAAATTCTTAAGGAACTTAAAAGAAAATCGTAAGGATCTTCAAAGAAATCGTATGGAACTTAAAAGAAACTCTTAATGAACATAAGAGAAACTTTTAAGGAACTTTAGAGAAACTCTTAAGGAACTTTAGAGAAACTCTTATTGGAAAATGTGGATCTTAAGAAAACTCAGAGAAATTTTGAAGGAACTTAAGATAAATTCTTAAGGAACTTAATATAAATTCTCATGGAACATTAAAGAAATTCTTAAGGAACTTAAAAGAAAATCGTAAGGATCTTCAAAGAAATCGTATGGAACTTAAGAGAAACTCTTAATGAACTTAAGAGAAACTCTTAAGGGACTTAAGAGAAACTCTTGAGGAACTTTAGAAAAATTCTTAAAGAACTTTAGAGAAACTCTTGAGGAACTTTAAAGATACTCCTAAGGAACTTAAGAGAAACTCTTAAGGAACTTAAGAGAAACTCTTAAGGAACTTTAGAGAAACTCTTAATGGAAAATGTGGATCTTAAGAAAACTCAGAGAAATTCTGAAGGAACTTAAGATAAATTCTTAAAAACTTTATATAAATTCTCATGGAACATAAAA